TTGAAGTCCACAAGTCTTAAAGTTGCCAAGGTTGGACACCCCTGCTCTAAACTGTTTAGAGAGGGCTGTCAAGCGTTACGAAGCGATATAGAAGCCCGAGGGCCGTTGCTGTTGCACATGCCGCAACATTCCATACTGGCTGCAGCTTCTGGATTCTCTTCGAGGGTAATCCAACGTAAAGCACATTGCAGAAGGTTTCCTTTTAATTCCTCTTTGATGCCCATGTGTCTTTTTCTGCCTAGCTTGGTGAGCATCATGAGAAGACCAAAGAAAGCTCAGAGTACTTGAAATATTTGACTCAACAAGCTGTGGCCCTCCAACGCACAATGAATGAGATCTACAAAAACGGATCCAACGCCAACATTATGCCCTTGAAAGTGAGTTGCTGAAAGTTGTCCCCATCGCAGGGGTTCCCCATCCCACACCGGTCTGTGGCATGCCAGAAATCGGTCCGCGCAAACAAGCGAAAACCCATCCAAGGGATGCAGGCAGTAGTTGAAACCACGCCCCTTCCGGTCCATGGAGAAACCTCCTCCATGGAACCAGTCCCTTGTGCCCAAAAGGTTGGGGGCCACTGCCCTATCAGGGATGTTGGAGATGAACTAGGCTGGCCACTCCACTCTGAAAATGGGAGAGGAAGAGTAGAGGTTGGGTTGGGTTGGTTCAAGCCAACCTCTACTCTTCCTCTCCCATTTTCAGAGTGGAGTGGCCAGCCTAGCTTTGGAAAGTAACCTGTGCAAATGTACTTCACTAAGCTTGTCCACTTTCTTCTCCACCCTGTTAATAAAGGGGTTTGGTGTCCTTGTTGGTTGCAGCTCTTCTTGACTGGTCTCGCCCACATCTTTCGGTGCTTCAAGATCTTGTCCGATCACGTCTGGTCTATAGAGTCCCTCAATAATGCAAAATCAAAATTGAGGATAGAATGTTATTTTTCAGTAAGGAGTGATGCAGTGACCCAGAGGTGGGAGTTCTCAACTCACAATGAAGAGGCTGTGAGTTTGATCCTAGGCAGAGGCAGATTATTTCTCACTCTGGGCACACTCAGAAATATCTCTGCTGAACAAAACTCCACATTGGTGACAGGAAGGGCATCCGGCCATTAAAACACTCTGCTAGCTCCATTCAGTTGCCCAGACTTCACCCGGCAAGGGATTATGGGGTAATTAAATGAAGATGATGATGATGAATATTATTTTTCAGTAGCATCCCTTTTCCTTGGGTTGGGGGGGAAATTAAATAAAAGTTAACAGGTGCACGAAGCATTTCTTAGAAACATTTATTTTCACATTTATTTTGCCTTAACTAATTGGCAATTAGGAAAAAAAAAAATGGGCTCCAGATTTTTGGCCTGCCCCTGCAGGAACATCACCGCCCTGCACCCTGCATCTGTCCTGTGGAAGGGAGGGATCCCTTTCAGTTGAAAGATGTTGAAGATAGATTAGCTAGTTGGTTGGCTGTGCAGGGATTTGAACCAGTGGTGGATTCAGCCGGGGTAATAATAACCGGTTTGGTGAACAAGCGCTCCGCAAGTGCGGCCCACACTTTAAAAAGTCCATTTTCAGCTCTAATACTTAACCTTCAACTGCAGCCCCTGTGAATAAAACAGCTGAGGCGCGGCAAAGCGCTCTTCCACTCGAATCAGCTTTGGTCTAAAACAGGGGTGTCTAACCTTGGCTACTTTAAGACTTGTGGACTTCAAGTCCCAGAATTCCTCAGCCAGCTTTGCTGGCTGAGGAATTCTGGGACTTGAAGTCCACAAGTCTTAAAGTGGCCAAGGTTGGACACCCCTGGTCTAAAAAAAGGCAAGTGGGTTGTGTGTGTGTGTGTGTTGTTGTTGTTTTTCTTCTAAAACATTTCACTTCTCGTCCAAGAAGCTTCTTCAGTTCTGAGTTGCTGAAAGTTTATTTATTGAATTTACACTGCTGCCTATTCGCCCATGGTGACTCGAGGTGGCTTACAGAATGTAAAACCATATTTAAAATAAAAATAAAAAAATAACAAAAAGAATCAAATAAGTTAATAAAGTACAATAGAACAAAATGTGTAGGGGGGGGGGAAAAACCACACACCCCAACTCCCACCCACCCCTGCCCCGATGACAGCAGATCACACGAGGCATTGGATGGGCTCCATCCTGTTCTGGGTTCCCCAGGCCCGCTGGCAGAACCAGGTCTTCAGTGCCTTCCAGAAGAGTATTAGAGTGGGGACCATTTTAATCTCTGGGTCGGGTAGATGTGACCGGCAGGAGACGGTCCCTCAGATAACCCAGTCCCAAGCCATGAAGGGCTTTAAAGGTGACAACCAGCATCTTGAATTGCACCCGGAAGCAAATCGACCTTTATCCAAAAGGTCTGCCTGCCTACCTACCTATCTACCTACCTATCTACAAATATAGATCTATCTATCTACCTATCCATACATTCATCCGAAAGGTCTGTCTGTCTTCCTGCCTGTCTTCCTGCCTACCACCTACCTACCTACCTACCTACCCACCCACCCACATACATACATACATACATATATATATGTAACAAGCAGCTCCCGCAGGAGAGTTGTCCCCTATCACAGGGGTCCCCACTCACCGGTCTGTGGCATGCCAGAAACCGCTCCGCGCAAACAAGGGAAACCCCCATCATCCAAGAGTTGTAGGCAGTTAGAACTTCTGAGTTAGAGCTGAAGAAGTTTCTTGGGTGAGAAGAAAAATGTGAACTTGGGTTGTTTTTCTTTTCTTTAATGTGGCACTAAACCCGGCTTGTTCACCTCCTAGTTCACAGCTCCCAGCATGGCCAGCGTCTTAGAGCAGCTGAATATTATCAACGGAATACTCTTCATTCCACTAAGGTAAGGCTTACATCCTGACACTGGCCGCCTAAGGTTGCTTCACTTCAGGCCAAGCAGCAGGTGCAGTTCTTTTGAGGAGGCTTCCATCAAGTTTGCAAGTTGTACGTAAGGGGTGGAAGTTGGGCAGAGACAAATCATTATTTTTTTTCCGTAGGTCTTCAGGGACTGGCATGTTTTTTACTGCTTGAATTTTGTCTTAAAATTTCCCCCCTTCTTCTCTTCCAAACATCCTTTGTTCCTCTTATCTGCTCTCAGCCTTTTTTCCTAACTAGTAAACCATAGTAGACTTTCCCAGGATGTTATTGAGTTTATCAGTTAAAAACATATCTTGGGGCATTTTTTTTCTTTTACTGCACACAACTCATTTGCACAAAATTCTGGTGCTAGATATTGATTGGCCACCATAAATAATATTTTTATGAGTTTTAACATACATGATCAGTGGAGTGAGAAGAAGATCTCACCTCCACTCCATTTATGTATTGGTTCCTATTTTGCCCAGGTTTTATTAACTTTTAATGCTCATTTTTTTCCTGTTTTGACATTTTAATATTTTATATTGCTATTATGATGTGAACTCAGAATAGCTTGACTTTGGCATATAAATTTAATGTAAATCTGTCTGCCTGCCTATCAATATCTATCTATCTATCTATCTATCTATCTATCTATTTATCTATCATCTATCTATCTATCTATCATCTATCTATCTAAAAAAAACCCAGATTTATCTATCCATCTACCCAAACAACTTGTTTCTTTCAGCTAGGTACTGTTTATTTTTATTCATTTATATTTATTTTTAAATTTATTCATTTATATTTTTTTAATTTATTGGCCACCCATCTCACCCCAGGGTAACTTTGTTACACACATTTTACACAGGTTCAGCTTACGGTCATTCGCACACACACACAGCCCCGGAAAAAAGGCCTCACACAAATCTCTGAGACACAAATAATTCCTTTGAGTACAGGGAGGCCCAGTGAATTTAAAATTATAGCAAAACTTTATTGTATATATGTATATAATTTGCTCTTTCTCACGTGTACACACACACATACACCCCTCCACATTTACCCACATCCTCAACTAGGCAGGCAGTTAACTAGCCAGAGAGAAGGAAGCTGCCATACCTGGATCCGAAGAAAACTCAAGAGAAGCGGGTTGGCTTTCAGGGTGCCTTTTATCCCCTCACAAGACCTTGCTTTATACTTTCACAAGAGTGACAGTTACTCTCACCCCATCGATTTACAAGTCTGTTAGCTATTTATGAGTCTTTGGGAGGGTTTTCCCACCTTGCTTTATCTGGTACACGTTTCATTTTTTTACATTCCCCCCCCCCCCTTCGTTTCCTGATCAGCCTGGTTCCTTCTTAACTACTTAACCCTAAGGGACAGTGGTGGGATTCAATTTTTTTTAAAACTACCGGTTCTGTGGGCATGGCTTGGTGGGCGTGGCAGGGGGAGGATACTGTAAAATCTCCAGTCAGAGGCGGTATTTGCCGGTTCTCCGAACTACTCAAAAGTTTCCGCTACCCGGTTCTCCAGAACTGGTGAGAACCTGCTGAATTCCCCACCTCCGCTAATGGAGCTTTTCCTGGCTTTTGCCCATCCTGCTTTTATGTGCTTGCTTCATCTTTAGTTACAGCAGCTCAGGGCCTACTTTTACAGTGCCCAAATTGACGCTGGTGGCCCTCTACATTTCAGTCTTGATAGTTCTCCTGGCCAAAAAATGTCCCCTTTAGATTCTTGCTTGAAAGAAGGAAGACAGCCTAGCTTTCTTTGGTCCAAAATCATCCCTCTTCCTTCTGATAATTTGCCTCTGAATGGAAGCTTCATGCCGAAGGAGTCATCCCTTATTTCTCTTTCTCTTTCCACAGCCAAAAAGATTTAGAGAGCCTTAAGGCCGAGGTGCAGAGGCGGCAGCAGCTGCAAGAATCCTTCCGGAGCAGCGATCAGCCGGAGACCGAAGAGAAAACCCCCGAAGAGGAAGACCGAAGCCAGCCTACCCATCCCAACACCCCTTAGAGCTTAAAAGAGCTTTTTAGTTCACTGGTCCTCACCGCAGAATTTGCCCCAAGGTGGTTCAAGCCTCACCCTGGGACAATTTTGGCAATGTTGTTTGTTTCTGGGGAGGGATAACTTTTTGTTTTGTTTTGTTTGTGTTTGATTTGCACTGGTACAATGAATATACAATGCAAAAGAACAAAATTTTGAGAAGTGAAGTCTACCTGTCTGTAAACTGCCACCCGCAGGCATCTCAGGTGGCGTGGAACAGCAAAGGTCTGTGTCCCAAAAACGGCCCAACTAGACGTAGATGCCGCATTGAGGTGGCGAGAGAGGAAGATGAGGGGCAGGAGACGAATGTTGCGTGTATATGTGTGAGTGTATCATCCATCCATTTCTACTGTGTACATAAGAGATTTAATTCCAAGTGAGGGATAATATAATATTTCTCAGGTCATTTTTACGTTGACTTTAAACAAAAATGGACATTTAACTTTGCAGAAATTTTTGGCCACTACCCCACCACTATGGATTTTAAAGTGTATTTTTTTCCCCTTCCCCTGCTTTCTTCCTACCTTTAAGCCTCAGCCCCTTAAAACACTGTTTAGGTGTGCGCAACATTATAAATATTATATATTAAATATAAATTCAGCCATATTTTTATCTGCAGATTGATTTTTTTTTTAAAAAAAAAAAAGCCCAAATGGATTTGGTACGGGAGAGATAAAACTTTTTGAGGCACATAATTTCCCCCCCCCCCCTTACTCACATTTAGGAAGAAAAGCCACCGTGTTTTCTATTCAGGTGCCACGTTTAGCTTTATTTTAGGGGAGGGCAAAAAAACAACAACCAGGGAGCATTTTATTATTTTGGTTTGCAACCTTTGTCACGTCCCAGGGAAAAAAAAAAGAAAGAGTGCCTAAATAAATTCCTTCGGGTATACACACTAGATCAGGGGTGTCCAACCTTGGCAACTTTAAGACTTGTGGACTTCAACTCCCAGAATTCCTCAGCCAGC